GAAAAGGAGATCAATCAAGTTCTCATTTTAGCCAAACCATTTAAAGTCAGGACACCTTCGAAACTTTGTTGGATTTATTTTATGAAAGCGATTTATCAACTGAGTAGAATAATCTAGAATATGACGTCTTACACCCATCCATCGGCTAGACTATTTTTACTTACCAAAAATCTGGTTGCAGCTTAAATATATATATATATATATTTATTTATTTTTATTTATTTATTTATTTATTTTTATTTATTTATTTATTTATTTATTTATTTATTTATTTATTTTGTTTATTTAGTTAGTTATTTAGTTATTTATTTATTTATATGTATAATATGGTTAGTAGTCGTCATATATCAAGTGGTTATGTATTCTTGTTTGTCCCGATGTGTAGTGATGTACAAATTCCCTAAAAATCAATTTTTCACCTTTATCTAAAGTCAAAATGTCAAAAGTTGTAAAGTATGTTTGCAGAAATAGTGTCCATTAGTTTGTTACTTTAGATGGTAGAGGAGTTAGGGCTTGTTTTTTGTTAGGAATTTGCTTAAGCCTCTGCATTTATACGATTAGCTGGATTGCCCAAAAGTGATTGACTGGAACGAAACGAGAGTTCATGAGGCAGGTCATGAGCATACTTTTTTTGGCTCATTAAGCCCTTAATCTCCATCGAGTATTTCGTCTTCAAGGCCAGACGGCTCTTATTAGGCCTCCCGATAAGACCGAATTCGGTCCTGCTAGCCTTTTAAACATTCTAACTTGAGGCCAGATCACAACCTGCAAGATCGGATCCAAATCTGTGCCAACTCTGTGTCGTCTCTCGCTGAAGAGTATGCAAGGATGGTCTCTGAACAACAAATTTGGTGTAAAATGCATTTTTGGAAAAGGGATGCATTACACAATTTTTGGCCCTACCTACCACGCCTATACCCTCGTGAATACCTTACTTTGAGAGTGTGATTTTTGTACCGTTTACCAATGTCTATCTTTATTCAGTGTAAGTTTGTTTTATGAGATGTACCCATTCTATTTCATTTAAGGTGATGAAGGAATGGTAGTGGACTTTTCCTACAATGATAGGAGTAGAACTGACGTTTCCAATAAATTTCACATACCTTTGCTTTCCCGAAAGGGTGGAGCCATGGTGGACTGCAGTTTCGATCTCGCCTCGTTTTGATCTTATCAACAGCCCCAGCGGGAGTCAAATCGTGACAGTGCAGAATGTGAGCTCGACGCGTTAACCACTCGGTCACGCTACCACAAGTGCCCTTGGGTCAGAGGGTAGATCTTAATTTCAAGGAAGGCCAGACCTTATCACACATCATCTTATTATTATTATTATTGCCATAACAATAGAGTACATTACTTATCTATCGTATATAAGTAGAGTTTCGAGACTACCACTAAATCAGTTATATGAGATGTATTCACCCTATTTCGTTTAAGGTGATAAGGATTTGGTTGGGATCCAAGGGGACTCGTGGCAATGTTAACGTGTCAAGTTCACATGCTGTACCGTCACGGTTCGACTCCTGCTGTAGGTGTTGATAAGACAGAGGCGATGTCGAAACTTCTGTCAACCATGGCTCCATCCCTTCGGCTATGTGGCATTCATTGGAAACGTCAGCTCTACTCCTATCATTGTAGGAAAAGTCGACTACCATTCCTTCATTACCCTAACCGGAATAGAGTGAATACATCTCATACTACTGATTTACTGATAGTCTCGAAACTCTTCTTATATGTGAAAATTAAGTTTGTTTTAAACTTATCAGTCATACTTGAGTTCACTTGAATTTTATCAAAATCGGCCCCAACTGCAGTTTAGACCTCGCTTAATTTTTTCCATCAGCCCCATATGGATTAGGTACAGGATCGTGGGCACTCCGCTGCACAGCCACGGTTGTCAGTGGGTTAACAGACAAATGTGATTTTAATAGCAAAAGCCCTTTGCTCAAATCATATTATATTAATGGACATATATGTATTTGCTATTATAATCGATGACACTACTCATATACATCATGAGTAAACTCCAAAATCCTCACTCATGTTCGTCACCCCAAGTCGCCTAGGGTGGAGCAAGGACGGTTTGTCGAGCTACTCACAAAACGATGCTAGTAGGCTTCAGGATGGCGCCACATTTCAATTGGCCTTGACCCACAAAAGGCAGAACTGCAACTTAGCCGCAAGTAAGAAATGGAAACTTAACTTGTATAATCATTATTTTGGCAGAAACATGATTGCCAAGTCAATTCTGGATTTTGTATAAGACATAATTCAACTTATTTTTGCCTTATTTCCTGCCTCTATTCAGACCATAAAAGGTCAGAGTTAATGCATATCATTTTCCGGCTCGGAGTCAGGCTCTCGAGGCGTCTGTCCCTGAAGGTGGTCGTTCAGTCGATGTCGGTCATCTGAAGCTGGGGTATGTGGCTGCCGGCCTCGTCGGCCAGCTGGAATTGGTACCAGACGCCGAAAGCCTGTCCTTCCGTCAGGCTCTCGGCATAACCGTCCGAAGGACGACCTCTTTCCGCCTCAACGAGTCCATCCTCGGGGCTCGCCTCTCGCGCCAAACGGACGTCATCGCTCAGACCGGCGTGTCTCCGAAGCGTGGACCGTTGCGCCCTACAGCCCTGAAGTCGCTCAGCAACGACATCGGCGTTGTCGGTCGTCGCGGCAACGGAATTGGGCATTTCGAGGGTTTTCAACACCGACAAGCTATTGGCGGTGACTGGAGCACGCCGCCTCTGCCAGACCTCCTTGCGCAGAATATCTCTCTTCCGGCCTCCCTCAGCGATTGGCTCAGCAATCGGTGTCTCTAAGGCACCGATCGCTTCGCAACGAGTCGTCTGGCCGGCCAGTTGACGGCCCACCGGCAGACTGGGCGAAGCCGAGATTCTGCTGATGCCCGTCTCGTGATTCGATTCTGTGGCCGGTTGCGAATGCAGCAACAGCGATCGTCCTGACAGTTGCCGTGTCGCCGGTACCGACGCGACGCTCCTCGCGGCCGGTCGAGTCCGTCTCGTCCAGACGAGTCGAGTGAGGCAGCGCTGGATGGCGCGTCGGTACTCCGGCGAGAAGATGGCGTAGATCATCGGATTGAGGCCGGACGAAATGTAGCCGGGCCAGGCGAAGTCGAAGAGCCAACGTTGGCAGGCCTGGCTGACGTCGTGGCTGGACAGAGCCACGATGAGCTGTAGCGTGAAAAAGGGGAACCAGCAGACGACGAAGACGGTGAAGACGATGACGAGAATGCGAATGGCCTTCTGCTCTTTGGTGGAGAGGATGAGTTGGAAGGGCGAGAAGCGCAACAGCGGCATGCTGGCGAGCCGACCGTGTGGAAGGGTCTCGGCATCTCTCACTCGACACGACGGATCTTCGTCTTCTTTGCCCAATTTCGGCCCAATCGCGTGAGGACACGATCGGCCCCGCTTCGTGGACATTTGAGCCGCCTTCTTGTCCACGAAAGGGAACGACCATCGGCTGCCCACTCGATGGTTGCGTGGTTTGGTACCACCTGCATCGGTCAACGCTTGGCCCAGCTGACCTCCGATCGCGTTCAACTGCTCGCAGTTGTCTGCTTTTCCCACTCGACCGGCCGCCAACCACCTGCGCCACACCATTCGGCCCATACAACATGACCCGTCCGACTTCGACGCCCCATCTACCGTCACACGCGAGGCGACGCGACAGCAAAAGTCTTGGCTGCTCGAAGCCGACCGCTTCGGCTCACCGGCCGTTTCCTGCCTCTTCGCCGTCTTCGGATTCGAGTCGGTCGTCAACGCGACCGACTGGCCGATGGAGGCGAAGAAGAGTCCCAACTGAGGCCGGCCAGACTCGGCTCGACTGTCGACTGGACTTTCGGAAGAAGAGTCGGTCGAGGAAGCCGAGTTGGGCGACAAGGGTCCCGATCTGAGCCCGAACAGGCTGGGACCCTCGGAATTCTGAGAGGCGAGAGTTGTGCTAAAAAGTCGTCGGCTACCCGGACCTGACAACAACGACATGTGAATCACCTGTTTGGCATGCGATAGAAAGACGACAAAGAGCAAATGAAAAACATTCACAATGACATTGTTGTGCAACTCAGTCACGTTGACACAGCCCTCTTTTTCGCTAGCCTTTGTCATAGTTGACGTGTGGATTGCAACCTTGATTTGTGGACATTTCAGGCGAGCCGTCTAAGAATGTACCAAGTCCGTGGTTCGCTCCAGAAGCACCATTAGCTTTATGACTTTAAACTTGCCTAATAACTGAAATGCGCTTCTTGGCCATCAGTTTTCTAAACATAAATCCCATCTTATGCTGAATGGGTAGGCCAGATTTACCCATTAACATTGCCTCCACATGAGTCGTTTATCTACAGCCATTTCGTGTTTCATATCTGTATCACTTTTTTTCTTCTTTTTCTCCTTTTCCTGCCTCAAACCAGGAGCCCTCGCTTCTGCTCATCTTGGTTTATATAGCCCAAAACATTTTATTTTTTTGTGCCTATGGCCATTCATGAGGATGGAGCTGAATTAATCTTATTAAAACGTTTTAACATCGCTACAAACAAGCGATAAAGAGATGCTGTATAACTGGTGGATATAAAGGCCGTATTTTCTGTTCCATCGTCTGACCATCAAGCCACCAACGAATAAGTGAATGGAGGGCTTAATTGTGTTCTTGAAGCTCACAACGTTCGGTAATAAATCCTGTTCATATGTAGTCCGACAGCTTGACCTTTGGGCTTATTCCCACAGTAACTATGGCTTTGATAGGAAGAGGGTTGCCATGGCTCACCGCCAATTGTCTATTTTTGTGAGTTCTCATTAATTGCAAGTGTCTATTTCACGACTTAGCATTTGCCGAATGTAGGCCTATTTCGTAAGCTGTAACATCGAGATGATTTCTAATAAATTTGCTTTTGTTGCAACCAGTATTTACAAATAACAAAACTTAAAAAAGTAATTGATGCTATATCCCAACTCTATCATGCTTCAGAAATGTCTTCAAAGCCCGATATTCCTCTGCGGATTGTAATTATTCAAGCCAAAGATTAGTTTATGGTTTAGAGAGAACGTTGACCAATTTTGTATAACACCTAAAACGTACAAAAAAGGTGAAATATTGTTTTATTTTAAATAACTTACTTCTTAACTTTAGCAAAAAAAACTAATGATAAAAACAGTCAATATAACAGACCTTTAAAATTCTGTACCAACTGGTGTGACTTTGCTCTAGACGAGTTTAATCATAGTTTCGAGACCGATTTAGACTAAATTTGTCGAGCTGCCTAGAAGGAAGGTTTTTGCCTCATTATAAATCACGAGGTTCATAAAAAAAGGTATTTACATTACCACTAGACTTGTAACTCGCCATCTAGAGGCTTATACAGCCATTTACATAATGTATTATGGCAAGAATGTAATGAAGAAAAAAGTGCCTTGTATCAAGAGCATCATATATGATCTTTTTGGATTAGTTTATGTCCTGGAGGGACAAGAATTTCATCCTAATTTTGTCAACCTAAAATGCATATATATATATATATATAATTAAAATTTAATCTTATGTGCTTCAAATATATTTTTAATACGTAAGCTATATTCTTGACATGTATCATTTTGCTTATATATTTGTTACCTATTCATATTATTATTTATTACTTTATTAAATTCAAGTAAATTAAAGTTTATTACAGCATATTTTGCTCAATTTTAATAAGAATCATATAGTATAGCAATACCATGCATCTAATTTGGTATCATCTGCCTTTGAGCAATCAAGTTACGATCCAGTGGCACTAAAGTGTGACGAATCGGTTTCTGGAAGCAGTAATCTTTGGGAGTTAGAATTATTTCAAAGCCGGATAAAACGACTCCACAGTGTGAAGGTATTGAAACTGGTGGGTGAGTTTTGCCATTCCCCGCTCCAAGCTTCGAACTCGTCAAAGAGGGACTAGGTGCGTTCAACTAAGTCGCCTTGACAACACGACCAAACTGCGACTGCGAAACAACACACTTGTATAAATCGAAAGGAGACTGCGACCATACCAGAGGCCAGAACTATTGTAGTAAAATTGCCAAACAATGCAGTGAATACAGCCGGACAAAGAAGACAATTGTAAGTCAATGGTGGGATAAGAGGGTAAAGAGTAGATAGATGGGCCAGGACAAAAAGAGGAGTGATAGTGTAACCGTTTTCGGCTGAATGTTTGTCGAGGGATTATCTTCACTTGTCTCTTTGACGAATTCGTAGCTTGGTGCGGTGAATGACAAAACTCACTGATAATGCCGACTATGATTCCGGTGAAACGTTTGAGAATTTACCAATTAAACTGTCTGATGCTGGGAGTCATGATAACTACTATGGAAGACGACTTCGGAATAGGTGCGTTCTACATAGTCGCCCTGACAACAAGACCAAGTTGCGACAACTTGGTGAACCCACTTTTAAAGAATATTTCACTTTCCTAGTGATGATAGCGTAGCATCCTGCTGCATCCCCGCTTTGGGTTGATCCACCCAGTTTTCTTGGTTGTGCACAATCTTTCACGAAATCTAAGTAACAATGAGGTTTGATGTTCCGCTAACCTCTTTGTTATCGGTCGGTAAATCTCTCTCATATGAAGCAAAGCAATTCTAAACTTTATTTCCTGTCACGTTTTCGTGTGAAATGAAAGGTTTATAGGTCAGAAAATGCTGCAGATATGCTATTAAATCGTTCCTTTCAAAATGTTACTTAATCAACACAATCGTCAACAAGAGAGAGTAAATGCACAAAGTGAAGAAACTGTTCCCAACTGCTGGACTACCATTCGAAAGTTTATCAAAAAAAACCGAGTTGCCGATGTAGTTTGGCGTTGGCGCCAAGTTTCGCACACAAAAGACGACTGTTCTAGGCCCTCGTACCTGCGGTTTCGCCAGCATTGTCGAACCATTAGTCACTTGACGTAATTTCTCATTGTCCATTATACGAGCCACAGTCTCCTCCGTATCCTCATCCACTGGGTATTCCGAATCGCTGGCTAGCCAAACTTAAACAAGGACTAAACTCTTTCGTGAATGATCAAAAATCCAATCACATCTTGGTTGGGGATGCAGGAAATTTAGTCACACTATTTTGCTTGAAATGACTTACGGACTAATGAATAGATTTTCTAGCATAACATTCAAGATCATTTGGCTCTGTTACTAAAAATATTTTCCAATCTGTACCAGCCTACAGCTTCCATCTCGCCTAGATTTTATCAGCACTTTAAGTGAGATTCGCAACCGTTTTGTGTGCCACATAGCCACGCGTGCTATAGAGAAGACATGACTAGAAATTGAAGCCAATAGTCTCTCAAATCGAATATATATGATAAAACATGTATTTGCCAGTATATTTTATGCGGGCATATTTTTTGAATAATACCTAAATTCGCCCTACTCATCTACTTGTAAGTAATTTGGCTATGGTCACTAAATCTCCTTGAACAACCTCAGCTCACTAAAGTCTTTATCCAACAATAACTGATGGCTTTTGAACATACTCGTATGAATAATAAAATGGAATAAATTTGTGACAAAAATACTGAAGTCTGAAAAGCATTGCAACACGAGGTTTGAATTAAAAGCAGCCTGACTCGCCTATATCCAACTGGCTTTCAGGGCTTCTGGCCAAGAATTTATCAAATTTTGTTGCAATAGGCGCATTAATTCTTTTACTCATAAGGCCTCATAAGGTCGTACGTTCATTCTCAGATCCGACTAGATTTGTGGATGATTTCGAGCACCTTTTCTACTAATTAATAGTAACGTTGCCCACGACGAATTAACTAATGTACTTCACCTCGTTATGCATTCAAATATTAGAACAATGGATTTGCTAATTGAGAGGAGACAAAGCTCATTCGCAATCCTTACAAATCCAGCAAGGAAGACTCTTTCATATTCATAATTATGGTATTACAATACTACTACAGATTTATTAGTGGCAAATTTTACAGTTTTGACTTTCAACTCAACACGCTACTGATTTTATCGTTAGTAGTGGTTTTTATTCACCAACTGCGCTCAAGCGGATGAATGTAAGAAACTTTCCGAGTTTCGCAATCAATTTCGCTTCTGCTTTCATCCCATTTATCCTGATAGCTGTAATACTATCGGTACCCAGGCCGACTGATATTGCGAAGGAAAGTTGGGTTTTTAGGAATCGCCTGATTTATACTTGTTAAGCCCACTTCCATTTAAAGTTTAAGTGTTTGGTGAATACATTCGAAAGTCGATCCCACCAGAAGATGACGGCGGTTTCCTTTTGACCATCTGTCGATTGGCTTTGCTGGAGCATTCTTGTTGACGCTGATTCCGAGATTCACATTACTTCAAGCCAAGAATACGAGAGTATAACAGATCAACGGTAAAGAGTGCCTGACAAATCCTAACTTTTAGCAAACTTTTCACTTGGATCCGAAGACTCTTGGTCTATTCCTGATTCTTTCTATGAACAACTTCTTCTCCTTGGCTTTGGTTTGAGGCGAAATGGATCCGCCTTAATGCAAACGGATACAACTGACTTTGGCCATTTGCAATTGTGCAACAGAAGAGGATGGGTAGACTCTTGGCCTCTAGTCAAGGATATGAAGGACTGTGTTTAGAGTCGGTGTGATATCCCTAAAATGAGCTAAATCGTGGAAAGGATTTAGCCGGAACGTGCCGACCATTCTCTTATCCTAAAAGCACGGTATAATGTAAATACCGATTTACATAATCAAATCTTTTCTATCAAATTGCGATTCTGCCTTAATTAACAGATTAAATCGGCCCACTGGCCATCATTAGTCCATTATGTACTAACATTTGTCACGAAGCGCTTAAGTAATGGAGACGACTTTATTTTATAAAGTTTTATTGAAAACAACAAATGCATAACACCTTCACTACTATGACCACCTAGAAGTGAATATAATATTAGTAGTAACTAGTGTGAACTCCATTAGGAAAATCCCCTTTGCGGCTTGGTTTCTTCGGCCATCTCTCAC